TATAGCTTAGTATTTTAAGGCAAATGAATTTCCTACGTGGACATGCTGCCTTGACTGTGAGCTTGTTTTTGACAAAAGTCTCATTTGTTTTCAAAACAGAAATGGTTTATAGTCAGACAGATTCATAACCACTGGCTGCACAAGTTGTGTGTTTATTCATACTCACAAGTGTCTCTTTAAGCTTGTTTGTGAGCTCATTTCTGTGTAAGAAGGTGTGTGTCTGCCTCTACCACCGCTGTCTAATGTATTGCAGTTTCCCTCTATGCGTAATTTAGCAGAAAGCCTGCATATGTGCGTCTGTGTGTATATGTGTGTGTGCCTGTCTGCCAGTCATCACTCACCGACTGAAGGCCTTGTTGTTAGATGCACCTCAGTTTCTGAGGAACACACACGTACACACAAACACTGGCTTTGTATTATCTAAGTAAACGATGCATGTCACACGCCGTCTTGACACGGATGCATTCGTGTCCTCGGACTTCACGGTGCAGTGGCCGATGTGTGTTTTTCTCGCACGCGCCGACACATGCTCACAGTATCTCGCGGCTTTGTAGTGTACGGACAAATGACGGACGTCAAACAAAGTTGCACACAAACACAGGCACCAAAGCTTTATATTACCGGATCAAATGATGCATGTCTTACACATAGACACTCCAACTGGCTTTGTGTTATGTGATCAAATGATGCGTGTAGCTGTGAAGCTTGTTACATCCATCCAGCGGTGGCCTATATTATTCTGTGAGCATCCATACTGTGTGACAGTTCTTTTGATGCTTTGTAAGCACATTTCCTCCCCGCGTCTGCCAGTTACGCTGCAATGTTCCTCCATGAAATATGGATGCAGCGACACCCTTTATGTTTGGGAGATCATCACTTATTATGAAATATTGAGGTGGGAACCGCAAAAAGGAGATCATTATTCACTTTGCATCATTCACTTCAGTTGTTTCGAGCTGGAGAATTCTTGTCTCAGCCACAGCTGTTGTCAATTCGTCTTCTGCGTGGCGATGCCCTTTTGATGTGAAACAGAGCGACGTTGGACGTAAGACAAATGCACTGCTGGTTGCGCGGCCTGCCTGTGTCTCATCTATGTGCTGTTTCAATCCACTGATTTAAGTGTTTTACACACTGAGTGGTTTGAATCACACGAGAACGTTCACACATGGCCCCAGAGCTGAGAGGAGGGTTCTGTGTTCTGGGGTTATGCATTTTGTACATGTGCGAGGTGTTGTAATGTTTCTGCAACATTTTAAAGGGATTCGGAAGAGACTTGAACAAGCTACATTTGCGTGTGTGTGTGTATATATATATATGTGTGTGTGTGTGTGTAAAATAAGAGCCTAGACATGTTTCGGACTACAAAACTGATTTATTTTATTGTTTTTGCTTTTTTTGCTGTTTAGTCATCATAATTAAACATCTATATATAGTGATTATTGGAGGGTGATTCGTGATGCATCGTTATGGTGCTGCATCTACCACAGACCAATGACATACAGTGGGGGAACAGCATACTGCATCCTACTGTACCAATAATGTAGAAGGTTGTATTTTGGAAAAAGTTTTCATCTTAAGTTTTTGTTTCTTTGATTAGCCCAGAGTTTCCCAAACTTTTTCTGATATTTGACAGCTATGGCTGAACTCTAAAAATGGACATCCTCACTGATAAAATAAAATAGTTCTTCCCACTGGGGTACAAATTAAATAAATAAATAAAATCACGTTAATTTGGACCAGTTGTGTTCATAGTTCAAAATCTCTGTCCTATCTTTTGGAGCTCAATGCAACTCCATCATGAGTATGCTTCAGTGTTGGGTTCTACCTCAGTCTCCTGGATGAGCCTGAGAGAAACATCCCACTTCAGAGGCAAGTTGAACATTCTCTACATTCATGCATGCACACGTCACTCGTCTGTGTTCTCACTTTATTTCTCCTATGGAAAATAATCAACAGGTTGAATCTCCTACGGCAGACTGGTCCAGGACGAGAGTCGAGAACGAGTGACTAAAGAACGACCACCATAAGGTTGTAACATCTTTGGGACCAGACATCTTTAAATATTAGTGAAATATATTTTTAAAAATCTATTTTTAAACATACTATCTTGGTCTGATACAGTGAATAATGTAAAGACAACAAATTGACGCCAACAACTGACCAAAAAATAAAAAATCCTGACATTACATCTGATGTTTCTCATTAACCACCAACGCACTGTGACCTTTTCATTTCCGCCTAATGAAGTAAATTCCACGTGGAGCTGCTGTTTTCTTCTTCTTTTTCTTCTCCTTCATCACCTACTTCTTCCTCCTCCTCCTCTTCATGCAGGCTGTGCTTTTTGTTTGTTATGAACCTACATGCACTTCAAATAGTGCTATTTATTTTAAATTATTTTTAGTAATTTCATTGCCAAAAATATTACATCCTTAAGCAACTACAATATCATCAAATTGACTTTTGAAAGCTGTGTCATTTTTGTATTTATTACATTCTCTCTCTCTCTCCCTTTTTCCCACTTTTGACGTATATCCCTTTTTCACTTTCGTATTTAATCGAATTTGTGAAATCCAACTAACTGCAGAGCCAGCAGGAAACATTAGAATTAACAAAGTGCATATTTGCATAAAGGTATTAACGCTAAATTAGTGAAAACAAAGACTTCATCTTTTTTATATTATTTCCTCCAACGAGGTCCAAATGCAATTGCTGGATGCAAATGAAAAGCCCACACGGGTGTAACCAATTAATTTTTGTCATCTTTGTGACCAACACGCCAACCCACTCACCCTGCTTTTTTTTATCACTACAGGGTGAAATCTGCTCACCGTGGGCTCAACACTTCACTGCTTCTTGCACAGAGAGGAGAAAAATGGAGGTAAACCACCGAGTGGAGCCTTTTCTAATCAAACACAAACACTCCAGTCTTTGCAGCAGCTTTGTCCAAGCATTTACACTGGCTGGACGTCAGGCCTGCATTTACTGGGTTTTCATCTGCATAAACACACACACACACAATGTTTCTGTGAGCACTTCTCAAACACACTGCTTTCCCCTAGCCCAGTCTCTACAACATTTAACACAAAAAATTGAGAGAAAAAAAAAGTATCCTTCTCAAATTTACACAAATGTATTTGTTTACGTCATCATATGTAAAAACAAAAAAATGGAGTGTCACAGCAAAAAACATGACCTGTTTACAGCAAATAAATATAATCCTAAAGCTGGGCTGACATTTTTTCATTTAACAACAAATAGACGACGTATAAACTTTCACATCGGTCTATCGCATAATTATTACAGTTTAAAACATGAAGGATTTTGCAGTTTACTTACAGTACTCTAAATGCGCCTCATCAGACACGGGCTTCACACCCACTTAACAAGAATAACAAAAAAAAAAAGAAAAAAGAAAGATAGAGTGAAGTCACCAAAGGTCTCCTGGCTGTTATGGTTTTGTTAATGTTTACGAGAGCATTGCTGATGGCAGCCGTGAAACTTTTTAATGATGTTGTCATGGAAATGACTGTACATTCCCCGAGACTCCAGAGGGCCAGTTTGTTGCCATGGCAAAGTGTTCCTGTGGTGTCGTCCACACATGAAACAATGCTCATTTACATAACTACATTGTTAATGTTTAATGACAACCTCCTCACAGGGAGGTGATGATTCTCTAAAGCTGAGCCAGGTTCAGTTTTTCTTCGAATCTCCTGATGAATAACAAATACTTCTAAAAGGAAAAGGAAATGGACCTCCTGCTGTGTCGCTGCCATGTTTTAGTCCAGAGGAAAGGTTTGAGTCAAATGTTTAGTATGATTAACAAACACACTGTTTTACAGCGTTGTCAATTCACTTGAGGGAGTGATTGCACTGATCACTAATTTTATTTCCTTTGTTCCCTAAGAGCAGAAGTTCAAATTTGAGACAAAAACTGTGAATATTTCAAACTTAAGTACAAAAAAAAGAGATGAAAAAAAAAGTTTTGCAACCACTGCCCGACTTGGGGAATTATTTACAGCCTACAAGTAATACAATAGAAAATAATCACAGCAGGATCAACGTAGGCTCAATGTATTTAAGAGACAGATATATATTTTACCAAATACATACTGTATATTATTCCAAATTGTTTTGTTTTTTTGATAGAGTAGTTTACAGTATATTTTACATGAGAATCAAAGACACTGGTGGTTTGTTGGAATGACTCACGTCAACCAGCACTGACTAAAGACTCGTCACACTCTTCAAAACCACATCACAGTTGAACATTAAAGAGTGTGGTTATGTCGAAAGTAGAGTGAGGTTGATGACTTTAATCACATCTCTGTCCTGTAATGAACCTATGGTGGGGGGTGGAGGGGTCGGTCTAGGCTGACATCAACAGAAAGACATGGTCCAGTCACGTCTGATCATACACCATTAGTCTATTTGATGAATCTAGGCCACAGTCTGCATATCTTCAGAGGATGGAGGGAAGAGACTTTAGGTCAGACGGAATTGAAGACAAATCTTAAAGATCCACAAAGACTTATTTGAAGAGTCAAAGGTCAAGCCATAAGCCGAATAACTGCTGTACCCCAAACAAAATGTCCTTTTTATTCAAAACAACAAAAATACGTGATTAAATAAAATGACTTTTCCATTTTGACACAAATTCAAATAAGTAGCGAAATAGAAATAAATAAATATATCAGAAGAGGTCAAAGAAACCATTTATTTGCAAATATAGACAAAAATGAAATCAAGGACCTCAGGAATTCGATCAAGACGCATCTCAGTTTCAAGTGCACCACTTCAAAACTGAAAGTAAAATGCTGTTCCTTGGTGTTGTGTTTGATGACATCTGTTATAGCGGTGAACACAGTCAAATTAGTTGCTGGTCTAAAAAAATGCTTTTAGCATAGAAGTGAAAAAAATAAATGTGGAGTCAGACAATATCTGTGTAGATGTTTCACCTCTGATCCAAGAAGCTTCTTCAGTTCTAAAGATACTAAATGAACTTCTTAGGAATAATAATATTTAAAAAGAAAATATCATCCCTGCACTTCGGTCTCTTTTTATAGCAAGTGAGAATTAGGCGTCACTGTTGGATGTTGAATAAACTATTCAGGCCAGAACCCAGGATTCTGGTGTAGGAAACCTGAGGTTTGCCATACTGTACTTCCATATGGACTTCACCTTCTGCACTGTAAGTAAACATTGATATTTTATCACACAGCACTTGAAGTCAGTGTGTGGAAAAACAATCAGATGAACCAAAGGTGCAACCTGACACTTCCTGCTGGAGTCCCCCGTCTGTGTTACTGTAGTATCAGACGTGAGCGCAGGACGTCTGACCGTGGATTCTTATCCTGGCAGTGACACAGAGACAGGAAGTCAGTGAGTGATACACGGAGGCATCTGTGGCGTTCTGAGAGAACGGTGATGTGTTGCATAACAGCAGCGTAGCAGCAGCTCATCACTCTTCTCTTCCCTCCTCTCTGCCTGTGTCACTGTATCATCCCCCTGCCTCTCATCTGTCATTTCCGCTCACTCAGGTCTTCATTTTTAATTTACTGTCACTCTCTTCCACAGTGAACACACACACACGTTCTCATACCTGGAGTACCTTCACTCTAACACCCTGATAACAGCGAGCTGTTACTTAATGACCACATCACTTGTGGTGTGTGTCGCAGTGAGAGTCTGGAGCAGTGGCAGTTCAAAATGACTTAATATCACAACTAATTACACGTGAACAGAACACACAAACCTCCGCGTGCTTTGGATTCTCCTGATGAATAAAAGCTCTTTCTCTGAGTGTGAGGCAGACGGCCCCCTTTGACACGTTTCACAACAACAATCACACGTACACCGCAAGGAAGTCACTGACGGGGCAGCCTCACAGTGAGAGCAGCCATAGAAATATCATTTAAAAACAAATAAAGGACAATAGCAGTAGCCGTGTTGTTTCTTTTTTTGCGATTATCCTCTTGGTTCTTTGACCTTCAAATTGCTCCCTGTCTTTTCCTTGTTCATCTCTTCTACTTTATTTCCTGCCTGGTTCCCTAATGTTCTCCCTTTCTCTTCTTTTTTTCCCCCTCTCTGTCTGATCTCCTCTTGTCTCCGGCCGCGGCAGTTAATTCAACGTCAGCTCTACGATCTGGTCTTATCAGCGTGAGACAAACAGATTTGGGCACTGGACAGAGTGAGGGTGAAAAGGGAGAGGACAGGCTCAGACAGAGAGGAGAGACTGGATCAGGGTTTTTTTTTTAAGAAAATCAATAAATGTATTACAACGGTAAAGAGAAAACACACTCTGACTGCCACAACTGACACCACGGAGTTTGCACTCAGCCTTCCCAGAATGCTTTGCCTGTTACAGGAGAGGCAATTACAATTTCACAGGTTGAAATTAAAATCCCCCATGGTGTGTGTGTTGGGGTGTGAGTGTGAGTGTGTGTGTGTGTGTGTGTGTGTTTCATCTTCTAGAACAAGCTGTCAAAGTGATTTCAAGCTGTTTATAGCCTTACCTCACAAAACGGATCCCAATAAAGAACGGGGTGAAAGTCTGAACCCCCCTTTCTCTTTTTTTATTTAAAGAAAATGAATTTGTTGAATATTAATTGCTTGGCAAGTCTTTGACGATCGGCTTAGTTGTCTCTGATGAGGCTGCATAGGAGTAGAAGAAAAGTACCCATAATCCCTGCCTCTGATGCTCTCTCTCTCTCTTAAACATCAACATTACTCTGTTTTTTTTTCTTCCTTTGCTTTCAGACCTTTTCTTCTATCTCCTGACTCCTCAGAGGATTTCTAATAGTTTGGGTTTTTTTTACACTAGAAAATAAAATTTCTCTCTATAAAATCCAGATGTCTTGATGTGTCAGTTCCTGACTTCTTTTTTTTTTTTTTTTTTAAGTGTCTCGAAGTTGGTGTAGCTCTGTCATCTAGAACCAAAGTTGTAGTATCTCATTTCTGGTGCTGCTTTACTTACATCCCTGGAAATTTATGGCCCACGTCAGGTTTCATTTTCAAGCCCCAGAGTGCGGCCTGATTTATTTCTATTATAATAGTATCTCCACTTTCCAGTTCCTCTCCCAGATTCCTCACAGCACACGGTGAAGGCTACAAGCACTATATAATCTCTCTGAGTGTTCCTATCAGTCATCAGCGTTTATAGGGTATCAACCTTTATTCATCCAGGGGAAAGTCATCTGAGCACAGGCTTTTATTATGGCGACACTGTACTTGACTTTCACAGTGGAGGACAAGAAAGTGTGACTGCCGTCTCCTTCTGTCATCCACTCAGATGCTGAAACCACAGCGACTCACACTGAGCACCTTGCTCAAGGGCAAATGATGGAGCTGGATTTTATCTGACGGTCAAATGAGAATATTGTGCTTCTCTATGTGGAAATTCAGGATGGTATAAAAGCAGTTGACATGTATAGCTGCCAGAAGAAAGAATAAAAGTATTCTGCTAGTTTTGGAGTTATCTTTTAGCTTAAGCGTTCAGCTTTAACAACTTCAGTTTATGTGACAATTGTCAGAGTTAGCTTGACTTTAAACTGGTTCACTTTTTTTCTTTTGATCCAATGGTGGCTTTCTTTTCCTAAAGACTAGGTCGCGACCCTCAGGTGGGTTTGCAAAAGATTTTTGTTGGGTTGTCTCACATCATGTTTCCCAGAAAAAACATTTGGGAAACACTGCATTAAAGAGGAGTGATGTACAGCGTTGGTTTAGAGTGTTTGTTTGTGCCCGTGTCAAGCAGACAACCTGTTATCATCAGCAGACCTCGGCTCAGCCTCTCGGCTGTTATAAAGAATGGCACATCTACACTCCTCTGGCATGGTGCTGAAAATGCATAAAGAACACATTGCAACAGCCCATGATTTGACTGAAGTGTCATTAACCAGACCACAGCAGCCTTGCTAATACTGAGCGAACAGGTTTTCATTCTGTGCATGGCCAGTGAGGAACAGCAGATACGTAGAAGTCCCACAGCAGCTGGAAGCTGGTTGATTACAGAACGCTTCAAGCTAGGAGTGGAAATTGCTGCCACTCTTCTCCACTCACACACTCTCTTCGCCATTCTCCGACTTGGGACTTGAACAAGGTTGACTAGGTCAGACCTCTGGCAGATCCCACTCAGTCATTTTCCTCTCCATGTTTTATAGATGTCCTCGGGATGCGGCCTCTTCTCTAACCTGTAGAGCCCTCTAACAGAGAGGACATCTGGAGTCAGGTTTGTCCCATCCAAGGGCATCCAGTCTCTGGAGTGTTACAACAGAGAGTGGAGTGTTTTCTTAAAAGCCACTAAACGTGTGGGCAACTTTGTGTGATTGGTTTTGACAGCTGCCATTGATGCTGTTGTGATGTTATTTTGGTAGATAATCTCACACCTCCTGTTGACTGCCTGTGGCACAGCGCTGTAGCCGCTTCACCACTGCGTTTTTTTAACTACATA